AGTTTTCTTGTTTGCAACTTTGGCTGGTATAGCTTAAATTAAGAACATTGAATACCTCCTTATTTGATGTTGAAATTCTGCAACATTCATAACGGAACCAACCAGACCTTTTGTCTACAGTTTCTTTGTGTCAACTTGAAACTGCAGCTTTGTTGTGAACAGCAGCAGCATTTTATCGATAAAATTGGTTGACAAAATTCTTTTTGCTAAATACAAAGAATAAGTTTTCTGCAGTCTTCTTCTCACTTTTTTGACCTTCAATAAACAATCATAAATTCTTGATTTTGACACAATTTTTATTAATGATTATAACATGTACAACAATCGTTTGTTGATAAATTTAGCCATAACGTAATTTCAAGTTAACTTGTCGACTGTCTCTGAATTATAAAGTTGTATAAATCTTGATGAGGTATCAAAAGTAAAGACATCAATGCTCGATGACTTTCAGCAGAATATTTTTTATTACCTACAGTTCAAAACTGTATGCTGCTTTTAAACATATTTGAAATTCATTGCTGCTCGTAGGGCTTCTCAGTATCACAACTTTCATCCAATCCAAAATTGAAACAAAGAATTAATGCCTCAGCTACTGCATTAAAAACTACATTCAACTAAAATTGTAGATACGGGTAAAATTTTGTAGCTTTCCTTTTTTGAACTGGTGGTTAGAAATTTTAACCGCTTTGTCAGACTACTGCTTCAAAGCAACTTATCTGCAAAATTAATGACGAATTTACAAACAGCAGCGTTTCTCTAATAGAACCGTTTTCAAAAACTTGCCATTTCTTTCTGAACAATATCAATTTTAAAATTGTAGTATCAACTACAGAAGATCCCAGACTACTTGAAAGTTTTTATGAATAGTTTTTCATCGTAGGCACTAGTCTTAAATGGTTTTAAATTATTTGGTTCTATTGGTGATTCAGACGCCATTTTTAATTTGTTGTTTAATGCTGATAGTTATTTCAAATGTACAACAAAACAAACTTCACAAAATTCAAGCAAATTTTCTTTTTTTTTTTTTTTTTTTTTTTTTTTTTTT